ACTTGCTTTCCTCTTTGGCAAGCATCACATATTTGATCTTTTTTGTAGACAATGTCGGGTAGACCTTCAACTAATTTGTTTCTTGCTAGCTTGTTGATAGTCTTGAACTTTAGATGATTCAACTTCTTGTGCCATTCCCAACTTGTTGCGGGTGAGTTGTTTGCTAGTAGACACAATGATTCTTTTGTTGTGTTCCAATCCACAACGTACATATTTTTCTTTCTTATTCCTTCGAGAACAACTTCTCCTGTGGGATTATTTTTCACTTGGCACTTCTCTTTGAAGAACTCTACTAGATATCCTTTGTCACAAAATTGACTTGTACTTAACAAGTTGAATTTTAGACCTTCAACAAAGGATACATCTTCGATTTTCAAACCATTTCGAAATATTGTACCGATTCCTTTTGTTATGCCGTATCGTTCATTTCCACCGAATACGACTTTTGGTCCTTCGATATTTTTAAGATTCACAAGACTTGATTTATTTCCAGTCATGTATCTAGAACATCCACTATCGAAGTACCAAACTTCCTGCAAATGAATTAAACATTTTTAGGTACCCAACTTGACTTGGGTCCTTGGGTGTTAGTCATTTTTGGTACCCAAATCCACCTTGTACTCACTGATCTAAGTTTAGGTGATTGGTAACCATTAAACACATTATAATCATATTTAATTTTTGAAAACATTTTTTGTGCCGATTTTTGAAAATTGACTCGATTTCTTGGCACGTGGGATATAGATTGTTTGGGCCTGTGATAAGCATTAAATCTGGACTTAGTCCATGGTTTAATATTTCCAAACCAATCTTGTTTAGAGGGATAGAGTCTCCCTGCCCCAATCCTCGGATTTCTTCCCATTTTCCTATGAGGACTTTGTGCACTAGACTCATTGGTGTATTTCCATTTAGGAACAAACTTTTGTCTTTTAGTGTACTGTTTAGACGAAATATTGTTTCTTTGAGGCTTTGGTCCAACAGTGTTAATTTTGACATCAGTTTGGTAACCAATTCCTTGTCTCACTGTGCTTTCTTGACCTTTTACAAATTTTACTACTTGAACTTTATTACTTAAAGTAGTAGTAGAATTGGTCAATTTCTCGGAGGCTTGAGAACACGATGGATCATAACCAAGTCCGGTTTTATCACTTGAGGGTTTTTGCATATTTACCATTTTGTCCATTATTTTGGATGAATGCGTAAATGTTGCTATAACCTCTCTGAGGTTGTGTTCTCTCACTTCCCTTGATTTACACTCTTCTTGAAGACAAATAATTTTATCTTTCAAGTCTTTCACTTCAAGTAGAGCATTTTGCAATTTTTCATTTAATTGATCTTTTTCAAGAATCAAATGATTATTGCGCTCTTTGAGTTGAGAGTGAGTGTCCATTACGGTTTGACATTCTTCCATAAAGTGAAAGAGGGACTCTCTAGAAAATGAAGAATTAACAGAGTCATAAGATTTAGATGTTACCTCATTTTCTTCATGTCCATTAGCCATAAGACACATGTCCTCGTGTGGTGTGTTGTTGGAGATGCTCATGCAAAACATTGCATTGTCATCCTTTGAGGTGTCACTTTCATCATTTGAAGATTCTTCTGACTCACTTATTTCAAGTGGGTCACTGATGAGTGCTTTTCTTCTTTCTTTTAATCTTTTATCTTTGGGCTTGAATTCTTCCTGTTGAGGGTTAGTAACATTTGTGTATTGACTTTTACTCACCTTGGGATATGGACAACTTGCTGCAAAGTGTCCCGGTTTTCTACAGTTGTAACACAAATTTGAATCTTCCTCAATAATTTCTTTCTTCGAATTCTTCGTTGTATTCCACGATTTCCCTTATGGATTTTTCTTGTAGTTGCTTCTCTTCATGAATTTCCTGAATTTCTTGACAAACAGAGCAAATTGATCATTAGGCAATAATTCAACATTTTGTACTGACCTTGAGGTTGATGGTTGCTCGGCTATAACCGCGTTGTTCTTTTCTTCATGATCTTCCTCTAATCTAGATTTCATCTCAAATTCATAAGCTTTTAGATCACTAAAGAGCTTATCAGTTGATAGGGTTTTTAGATCCCTATGATCTCTCATGGCTATGACCTTCATGTCCCATGTAGATGGTAGACCACGTAGAATTTTAAGTGAGATTTCTTTTTGATTAATATCTTTTCCAAGATCATTAATCTCTCCTAAGATTTTGGCAAATCTTGTTTCCATGTCGGTAATATTCTCGCCGGTTAGCATTTTGAAATCCTCGAATTTCTTTAATGCTATAGTGAGTTTATTATCCTTTTCTTGTTCGTCTCCTTCACCAATTTGAATGAGCGTTTCCCATACTTCCTTCGCGGATTGACACTTTCGAACTTTTGGAAATATCGTGTCATCGATAGATTTAAACAAAATATCCTTGGCAATATTGTCCAAGTTATTTCTTGTTCTATCTTCACGAGACCATTCCACTTTCAGTTTTGGAATGTATTGCGGAGTCTCACGTGTTTGTTCGGATGAAGTGTTGACTTGCAAAATCTCAATAGGACCACTTGTAACTACTTCCCACATTTCATCATGTAATGCGGACAAATGTACCTACATGCGAATTTTCCAATCGTCAAATTTTTCTAAGGAAAATAATAAATTTTGGGCAAGAGCATTATCTCTTTTCATCATCTTGATTTTTCGAGATCTGTCTAGCAGTCAAAATTGACTCAAATAGACAACCGCTCTGATACCAATTGTTGGTCCCGATAGGGTGGTGAAAGTCTAGAGGGGGGGGGGGTGAATAGACTTTCAAGCTTTTTCAAATTAAATAACTCTTCGGTAACTTCAACTCTAAGTAACAAGTAAATAGAGCAAATTTGTATTGCACAGCGGAATAATAGTAAAGAGTTATGCCCAACTAGTAAATTAAGTGTGCAAGTAAGATAGGTACAAATGATATGTAAAGTGACAGAGATATCTTGAATATATAAAGGAGATGGTGCACTCAATATATAATAACAATATTCAAGATTGTAAATAAATATCGTAACACGTCGACCGTGTGATGAATGTTACATGCAACACGTCAAACTTGCTTAGAATAATTCAATATTTAAGCTCGAGAAGTTTGAGTCACATGCATACGTGAGGACACACTAAACCCGGATGATTAAGATTAACAGTGAATAGTAAACGGGTTAGTCGGATGAGATAGATAGATATAGCAAATAATGTAAGTGCGGTATGTAAATGAGAGAGGCAATTTATAGTGGTTCGGAAGTGGCGTAATCTTCCTAGTCCACTTTTCTCCTTTCACGTCTAGGAGAAATTCACTATTTTCCACACACAGTTACAATAGTGAATAAGTGCTACACAAGCACTTCTTCCGGATGTCTTGCACACAGCTACACCTAACTCCGAGTGTCTCGCACACAGCTACACTCAACTCCGAGTATTTCGCACACAACTATACTCAACGCCAACTAAGTGTCTTGCACACAGCTACACTTAGCAACTACGAGTGATTTGCACACAGCTACACTCACTAGAGTATTTTGCACACAGCTATACTCTTTCTACAGTTTACAAATACAAGGATTTGTATTTCTCTCTCCAACTAGATTTGAGACTATTCAGACTAAGTCTCTTAGAATATTTTGAACACTAGCACTTTTGAATTTTGGTGTGTATTGCACTTCTATCTCGTTCACCTCTATCTCTTCTCGCGCTCTCTGTCTTCAAGTCTTCATGGCTTTTTATAGTCAATCAAATATATCCGTTGGAGTGGGATAATTTGATATTTGAAATTTGAATCTTCATAGCCTGATATTGTTGACAGTAGTAGATCTTCAATTTTGATTTGATTTGTCAACTTGCCTGACAAAGTAATTCTTTAGCACAACTTTGATTTTCTAGTTGTTTCTAAAAATATTACTGTAATTGTCAATTTGAATATCCAACGAATCTTTGAAATAAATTCATTTGATAGAATTTATTTCTAGGATAAGTTTTTATATTCATGCCTTCATAAATATTTTTCCGTTCTGATCAAATGTCTTTCAGGCAATTTTGGAGTCTTGTGGCATGTGGGTGGTCTTGGAGTAAATTCCTTCGAATTTATCCAATTTCTGATCATCTTGCTCTTTTGCCACATTGTGCTCCTTTGACTTGAACATCGTGCTCCTTGACTTTGAGCATTGTGCTTCTTTCGATACATTGTGCTTCTTTAGCACACATCGAGCTCCTTCAAAATCTGCCTTAAAAACATATAGGTCCTTGGGGGGAATCGATCTCAAGTGTGATCATTTAGAGTAAGGACCTCTACCATTTCGCCGTTAGGCTCATCCAGTCATTCCTTGCAACGCCATTGTTTTATGCTTCTTTCACAGATGAATACTCGTAGGACCAAAATTAATTTCTCAAATTAATTTTGTTCTTCCTATGGTAGATTCCTTCTGATTTCAATATTCTGATTTATGATGCTTGTACTAAAGACTTAAAATCTAAGGGGATCTAAAGATACATTTGGCTCATCAAAACTTACAAAAATATTCCTATCACGGACCTTGTGTCCCGTAAGAAGCCGGAATTTGTATTTTTGATGGAAACAAAGGTGGGACGCGTGCATGCGGAGCGTCTCCGGGTACATATTGGATTTGAGGGTTTGTTCTATGTTGATAGTACAAGGCGTAGTGGTGGGATAGCTTTGTTTTGGAAAAAGAATAATACGGCACGATTGCTAAGTTATTCAAAAAATTATGTAGACGTGGAGGTAACTCACACGAGTGGACTAGTGTGGCGAATGACTGGTTACTATGGTTTTTCAGAACGGCATAGGAGAAGAGAGTCATGGGATCTGTTGCGATCCTTGAGTGGTAAATCGCTCCTCCCCTGGTTAGTAGTGGGGGATTTCAATGACCTTTTGTATCAGCATGAAAAGAGGGGGGGTAATCTGCATCCGAGTAGTCTCCTACGCGGTTTTGGGTAGACCTTGGACATATGTGGTTTATTACAATTGCCAATGAGGGGCCATCAGTACACCTGGGAGAAGAGTAAGGGGACGGATGGGTGGTTGGAGGAGCGTCTTGACAAGGTACTGGCCACGACTTGTTGGTGTGATATGAATAGCGGTGCTGTGGTTGAAAATATAATAATGCGAAAGTCAGATCATTCGGCTCTATTCCTTAGTATTGATGCATGCATACAGAGGGGTAGAAGTTTGAAAACCTTCAAGTTTGAGATGACTTGGCTCCATGACGATGGATGTAGGGAAGTGGTTGAGACTGCTTGGCAGAATGGAAGGGCACAGGGGTTGTTGAATTGTCAGCAGCAATGTGGAGGCTCTTTGATGAGATGGGGGGGGGGGGGGTGACCACTTCCATAAATTTGGAGAGAAAATAAAACGACTTCGGAAGAGACAAGAGGAGATCAGAAGTCGTAGGGATTCTACTATTTTAGCTGAATTCCAACAGGTGGAGAGCCAGTTGAGCCAACTAGAGGCCCAAGAGGATGTGTTCTGGAGGCAACGTGCCAAGCAACATTGGCTCCGTGGTGCCGATGCTAACACTCATTTTTATCACAGGTATGCCTCTGCCCGAAAGAAAAGAAATTGTGTTTCTAGGATTATGAATGATGCAGGGGTATGGGTGGAGGGTGAGGCTATGAATCGGGTAGTTTTAAATTATTTTAAAGCTATTTTCGCTTCTGGTGTTTCTGAATGTGTGGACCCCTTATTTGATGATTTTGCACCTCGAGTATCCCTTGAACAAAACAATGAGTTATTGCGCCCTTTTGTGCCTGAGGAAGTCAAAACTGCTCTGTTCTCTATGTTCCCTGACAAAGCACCGGGGCCGGATGGAATGAATCCGGGTTTCTATCAGCACTTTTGGGATGTAGTTAGGGGTGATGTGTCTCAGTTTGTTGTGAATTGTTTGAATAATTCCACTTTTCTAGAGGGATTAAACGATACAAATGTTGTGCTAATCCCGAAGAAAGCTATGCCTGAAACAGTAGCTGATTTGAGACCAATAGCGCTGGGGAATGTACTTTATCGTATCATGGCTAAAATGATCACTAACAGGATGAAACCACTTATGGGAGATTTGATCTCAGAATCTCAGAGTGCTTTTATCCCAGGTAGGCTGATCACAGATAATATCCTAGTAGCTGCGGAGGTTGGCCATTTTTTAAATAGGAAGTAGTGTGGGGCCACAAGTTGGGGGGCTTTGAAGTTGGATATGGCGAAGGCCTATGACAGAATGGAGTGACAGTTTTTACGGAAAATTTTGGTAGTTATGGGGTTTGATGAATGATGGGTTAATCTGATTATGCTCTGTGTGACCACTGTTGAGTACAATATACTTGTGAATGGGGTGACGGGTGGCCGAGCAGTACCCACTCGGGGGCTCAGACAGGGAGATCCTTTATCCCCATATTTATTCATTATTTGTGCAGAGGGTCTATCTTTATTACTACAGAAGGCGCATATGATGGGCTATATACACGGATGCAGAGTTGCTAGGGGGGCACCCCCAATCTCGCATCTATTCTTTGCGGATAACAGTCTGTTATTTTTCAGGGCAAATGTGCAAGAGGCTACGGTGATTAAACAATGCCTAAATCGTTATGAGAATTTGTCTGGTCAAAAGGTAAATTTTCATAAGTCTAATATCTGTTTTAGCAGAAACACGCAGGAGGCCGAAAGATTGGCGGTGGCAGATTGCCTGCAAGTTGACCAAGCCCCAAATTTTGGAAAATACCTAGGTCTTCCTTCGTTTGTGGGAAGAAATAAGAAGGCAGCTTTTGCGTATGTAGAGGACAAGATCAGGCAAAGGATAGGGTCATGGAATAAAAAACTGCTATCACAGGCTGGTAAAGAAGTCTTGTTAAAAAGTGGCAATGCCTACTTTCACAATGGGCATATTTCTCTTGCCAGACTCAGTCACTTTGTCCATTGAGAGAACTATGAATAGATATTGGTGGGGCAGTGGAACGAACAGGAGGATCCACTGGAAAGCTTGGGATAAGCTGTGTGTTCCCAAGAATTATGGTGGTCTGGGTTTTAAGGATCTACGGAAATTTAATTTGGCAATGCTAGGAAAACAGGGCTGGAGATTTCTAACTAATCCAAACACTTTGGTAGCAAAAGTTTATAAGGCACGGTATTATCCGAATACCTCTTTTGTGGATGCAACCATTGGAAACTGTCCTAGTTATTGCTGGAGAAGTATTATGGCAGCACATGATATTATTGTGTCTGGTGTAAGGCGAAGGGTGGGTAATGGAAAATCAACTTTGATATGGGGACATCCCTGGTTGCCTGATGACCCAAGCCCTTTGGTTCAGACAGAAATGCCTATACAACTAAGAGATGCGCCCGTTGCTGGACTGATTGATCAACAAACAAATACATGGGATCCACATATCCTATCAGATATATTTATCCCAGAAGATGTGAACAGAATATTGATGATCCCTGTGAGCCCAGATTATGAGGACTCATGGTATTGGTTGGGTGACCCTAGGGCAATATATTCAGTAAGGAATGCCTACAGGAAGCTGGTTAGTGATTATGCATATGCCCGGGTGCTTTTGATAAATGGGCAACTATATGGAAGTTAAGGGTTCCACCCAAGTGGAAAACTTTTTTGTGGAGGGCAATTTGTGATATCCTCCCTACCACGAACAATTTGATTTTAAAGAGGGTAGAAGTAGAACCAACATGCAATATGTGTGGTTTGGCTCATGAAAATATTATGCATGCATTAATTCTTTGCAATTATTCTAGACTTGTATGGGATGTTACATGCTTACCCGTTATGAATGTTGTTACGGATTCTTTTCCCTCATGGATTATGGGTGTATTGACAATTTTAATAGAGGAGCAGTTTTGTTTGGTGTTGGCCGTGCTATATCATCTGTGGAAGACCCGGAATACGGCGGTATGGGAACATTCGCTCCTGCACCCAACATCCGTGCGCCTGCATGCCGTGGCAGCTCTACACGCCTACGGTCAGAGCCATCCGACAGCCCCCGGCCAGGACCTTACGGCTGCATTGTCCACGCCGTCACATACACGCCCACGGTGCTTCATTGACGCTGGTTTCAAGCCAGCCACTGGCGAAGCCACATACGGAGCAGTCTTATTAGCAGCGGACGGGACATTCATTGCAGCAACAAATGGCAGGTTGCCAGTTTGTTTCTCACCGCTTATGGCAGAGGCCGCAGCTTGTAAGGAAGCTTTGTCTTGGTTAAGGGAGAAGAATATTATGATGGTTGATCTTCTCACGGATTGTTCCGAGTTGCGCAGCATTTTACACCACGCCTCGTCGGCTATATTATCCTACGCTGGAGTCATGATAGACCATTGTAGACTATCTATGACTTTATTTACTTATTGTTCTATCAGTTTTATTTCTAGACAGCTTAATTTACATGCGCATACATTAGCTTCGTTAGCTTTTACTCAGGATAACTCTATGTACTGGATGCTATCCCTCCTGACTCTATTGCTTCGTTGATTAATTAATACAATCGGTCTGGTTGTTTTCAAAAAAAAAAAAAAAGTTAGTTGAGGGTCTTAATTGTAAGTTTTTTAAATTGAGTGGGCTAATTGCATTATTTTGTGCAGTTTAATGACCTATTCCAATAATATTATTTATTTATTTTATTTATTTATTTTTATTTTTTTTCTTTTCTTTTGGTGAAATATTTTCCAACAATGTTTGTAATGATAATAACATACAATAATCTCTTTCTTTCTTTGATATGTTTTCTTGTCTTTGAAATTCGCAACAGCCAACTCTAAACTGTTGACACTCTGAATTCTTATTGATATCAAATTGTTAATTGATCAGGGTTTGATTCGAACTGAATCGGACACAATAGTAATCGAATCGAAAGTTTCAGTAATGATTCAGATCCAAAACTCAATATTTGGGTTTCAGTTTACTAAAATCTTGAATCGAAAAACCTGAATCCTCAACCGTGAACCGGCGGTTCGAATCAGAACTACAAGCATTAGCTTAAAATTAAAATTATAATATTTACAAATAGTGGATTTTTTTTTATTTTTTTTACATTTATTCTGATTCTCACATATAAGTATATATGACCGCGATTTGGTTTTGATTTTGAACCACCGGTTCACGGTTCCGGATCCAATTTGAACTGCTGGTTCAAACTTTATTTTAATTTTTTTTATTTTTAAAATAGTCTAAATTCAACAATAAATGTATTTTATTTTTTCATTTCGAAACATGAACTGGCCGTTCCGGTTCACGATTTAAATAAACTCTAAAAATTAGGTTCCGATTCTAAATTTTAATCAGAATATTTCGGTTTGGTTGCTATAGAGTCTGTTTGGTTTGAACCAAATCGTGGTCATAATTTGTTGGAGAAGAAAAATAAATGAAATATTTATATTAAGGGTAAATATGTCAATTTCACATATCAGGGGACAAACTGCCACTTGAATAATTCGGGAGAAAAAGTACTATAAGTATATAACTCAAGGAAAAAAAGTGTTATTTTCTACAATAACAATAACAATAACAACAACAACAACAACAACAACAATAACAACAACAACAACAACAACAACAACAACAACAATAACAATAACAATAACAATAACAATAACAATAACAATAACAATAACAATAACGATAACGATAACGATAACGAAAACGATAACGATAACGATAACAATAACAATAACAATAACAATAACAATAACAATAACAATAACAATAACAATAACAATAACAATAACAATAACAATAACAATAACAATAATAATAATAATAATAATAATAATAATTATAATAATAATAATAATAATAATAATAATAATAATAATAATAATAATAATAATAATAATAATAATAATAATAATCTAACTCTATAATAAAGCAATAACTTGCTGAAGTTTTCGTTTTCCCGCCCACCTAATACTACGCCGTTTTGGCTTAAGTTACTGCTATTATGTAACACCCCGTGTTACGGATCCTAAAACCAACTAATTAATTAATTAATTAATTAATAACCCAGGAGAAAGAATAAATTATAATGGTTAATTAGAGAAAAGACCACCATAGCCCATGGGCCCAATTATATAAACCCAACCCCTAAACCCAATAGGAATAAACTCTAAATAAACCCTTGGATCTATAAATAGGGAACTTAGGGAGCACCTAGAACCCCCCCCCCCCCACACGCCTAGACGCCCCATCACCCCAGGAGAGCTCCAAGAATTCCCTTAGAAGAAATCAAGAAAGCAAGAAAGCTTAAAGAAAGATCCTTCATAACCAAGGAATTAATCAAGGCTAAGAGGTAACCCATGTCTCAACAAAACCTATTTTCATAGCTATGATTTCCACTTAGGGTTTCCCCCATATTTTTGTAAATGGCGATTGATGATGATTATTATTGATGTCGATATAATGATTCCATGAGGAATCTTGATAATCTTGATATTGGGAGTTTCTTGATAATTATGATGTTCTTGATGATTAATTGGGATTTTGATGATTATGTGTTGTTCTTGATGATTATGATGTTCTTGAGGATTAATTGGCATCCTTGGTGATTATGTGTTGTTCCTACCGAATCTCGCAATTAGAAGACGAACCGTACTCTTGTTGATATAAAAGTGATTAGAACCCTAGGTTGTATCGTATGATATTATTCTTGGATTATCGGGTGGGAAATCGCATGTTTGGGTGTTGATTATGATTAGAAAAGCAGGTTAGGTTATGTGTCGTTCGTTCATCGTATTTGATCCGTTAATTGTGTATGTGTTGTCGTTAATTGCGTTGCAAAGTGTCTAAGCATGGTTTCGGGTTCCACATCGGTTCCCGAGGCGAAAAGTGATGAAAAGAGTCAGTGGGGGGTAGGTGGGGGTAGGGGACCCGCCACCTACCCGCGGCATTCACGGGCAGCTCCGGCAGCGGGCAGCTGCCCGCCGGGCACCCGCTGCCCGGAATAGTGACAGCCGGCGGGTGGACCCCCACCCACCGGCTACCCGCTGGAAAATTGTCCCCCTCGGGACCCCGGCTTCACCGTTTGATGTTTCCCCAATCCCCGTGGTGTCCCAACGGACCCCGCTTGTCGTGCCTATGTCTAGTTTGATGTTTCGGGTACCATTCGTAGGTTTATGAGTCTATTATCTTGCATGCTAGTTGAATTGGTATCCCGTTGACCTAGGTGAAAGAAGTATGAACCCCTTAGGACTATTCTTAGTATGTGATGGATCACGCATAGGTTTGTTATACGCTTTATCCCCCTTCCCAATGTGTAATGTGGGTTGCATGTGCTTGCTATGTGTTATGTGTGTGTGCTACCCCAATTCGGTTGCGATCGGATTGGTTATCCTGAGCTGCGGTTCAGAAGCTGGCTGCGGTCAGATTGGTATTCCTGGCTGCGGTCAGATGACATTCTCTTGGGCTGCGGTCCACCGTTTGGTTGCGATCAAACGTTTCTATACGAGCTGCGGTTCGTCCTTTATCCTGGCTGCGGTCAGATGACACTCTCTTGGGCTGCGGTCCACTGTTTGGTTGCGATCAAACATTATGATGAGCTGCGGTTCATCGGTCGGTTGCGATCGACCTCCCCGTGTTGCGATACGGGGCATGGTGCTGCGGGGCTGTGTCAGAGCTATATGCGCTGACCCTCATGTATGGGCATGCGATCGGTCCTGTGGCGCCAACAATGTGCGTTATGTGTGTGATATGGGCGAGTTGTGATTATGAGTGCCTTGGGATGTGACTATGGGATTTATATTGGGGATTGTTTATGATGGGTTGTGATTATTGTTTATGCTTTGCCTTATCTGCCTTATCTATTGTGAACTGCATATGCTCGTTATAACTATTGCTTGTGTCTGACCTTATCTGTCGAGTCATTCCCGGTTTTAAAAGCTAGAGTTCGTAGGATATATCTTCATGCTCACAATGGTTTTTCGTATATCTATATATATCTCTATATGTATTGTATTTCAACGCGTTGGAGTGGGTTACCAGCATCTCTCGCTGAACAGATATATTTGGCTTTCAGGAACAGAAGAATAAGTCACTGGAGCGCGCTAGACTAGGAACGTAGAAGTAGATAGCTCCCCTTTCGGCCTGCGTGCCATATTATGCATTTACATTATTGAGAATATTAGTTAGTTAGCCTGTGCACCTGGGTTCTCTAGCTCAGGTGTGGCATAGCACCCCGTACGCTTGTATTATGTTTTGGGATTTAATGAGATATTACCTTTGTCTTATAAGTTTTAAATGCCATGAAAATCTGGGGTGTTACAGTTGGTATCAGAGCCTAAGTTTGACCCTAGGAAAGACTCTTAAGACCGGACTTTAGGACATTAAGCTTGAACTCTAGGTATTTAGGAACATAGGACTCAGGAATCTTAGGACGCGCGGTGAGATTGTGAAACCTACACATAACCTCCCCTCACTTTATCCCTCTCTAATATTAGGAATCCCTTCCCCACTTATTATATCAAGATTGAAATACAAAATAACATCGACCTTTAATCGCCAGGAATGGCACCCAAGAAGAAACAGTCAGGAGCACCGGGACACCCCTCTCAAGAAATCTTGACTCAGGCCCTACAACGCCTG